ACAGCTCCTTCTGTAGTCCCTCTACCTCTATCTCTATCTCACCACTGACTCTGATCAGTGTTTCTCCTCTATATAGCTTATTGTCATAGTGATTAGAAACGTAATATTGGGTCTACTCTGTAAGTCGCTTTGGATAAAAGCATCTGCCAAATGCATAAACATAAACATAAACATAGGGACAACAAGAACTATAGTCTCACTGAACAGTTCTGGTGTCGGAGTATTAAAATTGATCTCGTCTTGCTTGTCGAGAGGCCAATAGTGTTTGGAACTCAATTATGTAACCTCTCCACATACAAATAAACCACAGAGTGCATGTCATGTGCAGCAACATTCAGAATTTGAACATATTTACCAGTAGGCTATAGGAAAGGACTTTTTTAAAACGTTTTTTTTTAACCTGTTTTGCCGCATTATCTGCCGGCCAATCAGACGCCGGCAAACAGCAGCACCGGGGTCGGCGGGAGCAGAGCGGGCCGGGGGGGGAAACGAGGGCCACGGTGGGGTGGATTCTGTGGATGTTTGGGTCCGCTCTGACCCCGGCCCCCGCTGGGGAACGCGGGCTGATGGATGGCAAAGGAGACGGGCGGAGGATCCACGCTGGGGCGGGGGGGGGGGGGGACCAAAGAAACCACCGGAGCAAAACTCAGGGGGGGGGCAAACCAGCGTTTTTGTTCCCACTTCCTGGAGATCCAAACACAAACAAACATGATCGGACAGCTAAAAGGGAGGGGGGAGAGGTGAGGGGAGAGGCCGAGTGTGATATGACACGGGATAGACAAGACAAAGAGAAAGAAACACAAGGATGTATTTATAGGTTTTCCATAAAAAAAGTTGGGTTTGTTCATCTGGTACCGGCTTTAACCCTGTAATGCCAAATGTGTCATATTTGATACATACGGTTTCTGAAATGTTTTGCGTCTGACACCTTTTGCATAATTTAATGGTAAAAACTTTGCTCAAAATCCGATTGTACACAATCAGATACACCTGATAACAGGGGGCAGAAGACTACACAAAAAATAATCTTGACTTATCGCATAGGAATAAATTATTAATATCCAAAATGTATTTCTGTTTTTTCTTTTTACATATTTTGTTAAAAGGCCAAATAAAGACTTCAAACCAAAAAAAAAGTCATTTTCTGTTTAGTTTTATCATTGGATCAGGCTTTAAAGGGTTAAAGGCTTCCTCAAACTGCAGGATGACAAATTCTGATGTCACTACTGGTTAATGTGGCCTTTGACGCACTCCACTTTCCTTTAACGTCCACACAGTCTGTGTTACCTAATACAGAATAGAGATATATTGTTTTCAGAGATACCAGGCATTCCTATGACATCAGCCAGGTTTTGGTTGGACAGACTTAGACCAGGAAACAGTGGAGGGACAGAGAACAGTAGGCCGACTTTAAACATGTAGACATGACTTTACAGTTCATGACGATATCTGTGATGTGGTTGAGGAGCTCAGCATCGGAAGGAATTTGATGTTTTTTCAAAATAAAAGAAGCTAAAAAATACCTGAAAACAGGCCATTGTTGTATTTACTTAAACTCAGATATGTAAAGCAGAAATAAATGATTATCTTTACTCATTTGCTAAGAGTGTATAGGATTAAACACAAAATCTTGAAGACACTTTGCAAAACTCAACTAGTCTTAGACTTTGAGAGGCCTGGTTTTATCCGCCTAAAACCTAAAAACCTAAAAACCTTCGATGAGTTTGTGGATCAGAACGATGTTTTAATCCTCTGTCCACACAGAAGTGGCCCATTCCTCTCTGCCTCATACAAACGTTTTGAAGCTCAATTTGAGAATAGCTCACACGAACACTGTCGGGACACTGTAAAAAATATGATTTTTAAGGATTACAAGAATGTTTGCTGTGATTCAAAAGCATGTAAGTGAAACTTTGAGATCTAAACTACTTTAACTTCTCAAATGAGCCAATTTACAGCACTTCTACACTTAAATTAAAAGATGGTTTGGAAGAATTTCAAACATTCTGTACTAATCAGTACATTACTGAAAATTTTTGGCATCCTTCTCCAATAAACGTTATTTAAAAAATAAAACACGCTTAAATGTATGGCGTAAAATATAACTTAAGTGACCTGTATGCTTGATCTTCTAAAGACTGAAAATGACTCTTACGTTAAACTAAATATAGTTCTCAGTTGGCAGGTTTAATCTAATGGAATGCTTGTTTTCATCATTACTGTGTATTGTTTTTTTTCTCCCTATACATTCATATAGGGCTGCATTTTACTTGATTAACTCGCCCTCTCCCGTTCTTAAGCATACATCAGTTCACTCGACCAGATTAAACCCACATCATGTCTCCGGGGTTAGGACGCATGCTTATATATCCATTTAACCATCATAGCAGTGACTCACTCCATCGCCCCAAAGCC